GCCCCATCATTGGCGTCAGTGGGAGGAATAGTGCCCCATCATTGGTGTCAGTGGAAGGAATAGTGCCCCATCATTGGTATGAGTGGGAGGAATAGTGCTCCATCATTGGCGTTAGTGGGAGGAATAGTGCCCCATCGTTGGTGTCAGTGGGGGGAGGAATAGTGCCCCATCGTTGGTGTCAGTGGGGGGAGGAATAGTGCCCCATCGTTGGTGTCAGTGGGGGGAGGAATAGTGCCCCATCGTTGGTGTCAGTGGGGGGAGGAATAGTGCCCCATCGTTGGTGTCAGTGGGGGAGGAATAGTGCCCCATCGTTGGTATTAGTGACACAAATGATGGGGCACTATCCCTTCCACTGACACCAATGATACTTACCTTGCTGACTCCTGCTCCAGCCTGGGCTCGCTCTCTCCCTCTCCCATCTACAGCCTGCATACCTGGCTGCAGCAGCAAAATTTGCACTTACCTGTCAGCTGTCTTCCTTCTCTGGCCTCTCTCTTCACTCATTCCTGCAGCTCCCTCGATCTTCTTCGATCTCCGCGCGCTGCCGCTCGGCTCCTCCTCTCCAAGCTCCACCTTCTCGCTGGTGATTGGCCGCCTGTGTGCCTCTCCTGAGCTACAGTTCCGGTGGCCAATCAGCGGCGAGGAGGCGGTGACAGGGGCAGCATATCATCCCGCCCACACATCGCCGGAGACAGCAGCAGTGTCTCGGTTCCTAAGACCATCGGAAATATGTGTTTTCCGATGGTCTTAGGCGACCCCTGGGAAATGGTCGTTCGACCCCCAGGTTGAGAACCGCTGCCGTAGACACACTCCTAAACCTTGTGGACAGCCTTCCCAGAAGAGTTTAATCTGTTCTATCTGCAAAGGGTGGGCCGACTCACACACTCACTGGCCACTTTGTTAGGTACATCTGTTCAGTTGCTTGGTAACACAAATTGCTAATCAGCCAATCACATGGCATGCAATTCAATGCATTTATGCATCTAGACGTGGTGCCATGAAGAACTAAGGCAGTTTGGAAGACAAAAGGGGGTCCAACTGGTACTAGCAAGGTGTACCTAATAAAATGGCTGGTGAGTTTGTGTGTAATATAATATATATCCAAGATGACCACTGCCTTGCTAAAGAAGCTGAGGGTAAAGGTGATGGACTGGCCAAGCATATCTCCAGACCTAAACCCTATTGAGCATCTGTGGGGCATCCTCAAACGGAAGGTGGAGGCGCACAAGATCTCTAACATCCCCCAGCTCCGTGATGTCGTCATAGAGGAGTGGAAGAGGACTCCAGTGTCAACATGTGAAGCTCTGGTGAACTCCATGCCCAAGAGGGTTACGGCAGTGCTGGGAAAACATGGTGGCCACACAAAATATTGACACTTTGGTCCCAATGTGGACATTTTCACTTAGGAGTGTACTCACTTTTGTTGCCTGCCAGCGGTTTAGACATTAATGGCTGTGTGTTGAGTTATTTTGAGGGGACAGCAAATTTACACTGTTATACAAGCTGTACACTCACTACTTTACATTGTAGCAAAGTATCATTCCTTCAGTGTTGTCACATGAAAAGATATAATAAAATATTTACAAAAATGTGAGGGGCATACTCACTTCTGTGAGATGCTGTGTGTGTGTGAATATATATATTTTTTTTAGCAGAGGCCCTAGATAATACAATGGCAGGTGTTGCAATTGTTTATGTCACACAGTATTTTTCAAACATATTTTTTGGAAAAAATACACTTTAATGAATGTTATTTCACACAAACACTATATAATACCTAACTATAAAAGATTGTTACATTGAGTTAATAGATACCTAACATGTCACGCTTTAAAATTGGTTGCACCCATGGAATGGTACCAAACTATGGTACCTAAAAATCTCCATAGGCAGCGGTTTAAAGGCCTTTACAGGTTATCAGTTTAGTGTTACACAGGAGTTCTGCAGCTAAAATTATTACTCTGGCTCTGATGCTCACAATGATACTTCACAAGCATGGTGCGATCAGCATTTGCATATGTGTGTGTGACTTGCGTATATGCATAAGCACGGGAAAGGTGGGAGGGGTGCATGTGTTAATTTTTTTTCATTATTTGTATTTAATTTATGTGAAACTTTTTTTTTAATCCGCTTTATTGCTTTCACAAGGGATGACCGCTTGGTCTGTGACAGGTCCTCTTTATGGAGATATCTGGGGTCAATTAGACTTCATATCTCTCCTCTGGCCTCTAATGCAGCCAGTCAGGCATACATCGGCCTGATCTGCTTCTCTCCTGGCTAACGGCCAGGTAAACAAAGAACCGGAAGTGACTAAATCCTCGGGAGGGGTCCATTTCCGCTGCCAGCAGAAGTGGTCATCGCAATCATTTCTGGTTAAGAGAGAATAACCAGCAGAAAATTTTGATATTGAAATGATGACTGCAGGTGCAGGCTTCATCCCGGTATAACCACTTCTACCCGAGGACGTCATGTGACATCCTACAAACAGGAAGTGGTTAAAGGGTTAGCTCCTCTTTAAAAAAAAAAAAAATAGATAAAAAGGCGAACTAACACCTTACACCCTCCCTACCCAGTCCCTGCTGCACTTACTGCCATTGGTGATACTATTTTACTATCCACACTGTTTTTCTCTTTTTTTAACCCTAGGGATGCTGGGGTGGATCAGAGATGTTCTGATGGGCCAGCACTGGTGACTGGCCACACTTGACCAATCAGAACGCCTCTGATTCATCCCAGCATTTTTAGGGAAAGAAGCGGAAGAACAGCACGATTTTCAAAGCCCAGGACCACTGCACCAGGTTGAGTGAACAGTGAAACTGAATCATCTGTGGAGGTAGGCACAGCAGGGACCGGGGAGGTGGGAATCATGTAGGGTGTTCACCTTTTAATTTATTTCTGAAAAGGTGAGCTTACACTTTAAACTTCTGAGCATATGCACAAAGATACACCTTTGCCTACAGCCTCCTGCAGCTTTTTGTTTTTTCCAGTCTCCTTTAATAACTATTGAAGAGAAAATATCACCACAATGAAAAAGACCTTGTTGGATTCTCCTGGTGACAAAGAGCAGGCAACACTCGGTTCTATTGAGATCTGCCTGTGGTTGCTGAACAGCGTGGTCGGGGAGGTCGCCACTTCCACACCTACCCCAACCCCACTGCCCGGGAGGCACAGCATCCAGTCCCACTGCCAGCAGCCTTTCTAAATCTATAAGAGGCTGAAGTGTCAGTGGACACTGTCCTTAGAGGTACTCGTGTTTTGGGCCGTATGTGTTCAGGGGTGTATTCCTCGAGCATAGAATCTTTGCATTCAGGGAAGACATCCCTGTACACATAGGACCCTAAATACTAGTACTCCTTGGTATAGCATCCTGCTGCTACATATTTTAACCTGTTCTAGATTTTGAGAGGGGCTGTGCACTGCCTCTTTGTCTCCCAGGCGCCCTAATATGCTAGGGCAGGACACTCCCATGTGAAGACTTAAAGTATAACTAACCGCTCTCCTCCATTCATAGAACCTCTCCTATAGCTTCTATGAATGGAAAACGCTTTATAATTGGAGGCGGCACACCTTTCATTCATCCACCAGTCCTTCATTCATAGATCCCTTTTCATTGCTGAAAGCTATAGTACAGCTTTTATGAATATAGGAGGGGTGGAAAGCGTGGGCATACGTGCCTGTGACAGGTCTAGTGCTTGCGTTACCCCATGGAAGATTACAGCTGAAGGGATTTGGGAACTGTTGACAGAGGACTTCATACTTCAAGTTGGGGGGGGGGGGGGGGGGGGGGGGGGGGGACAGCTAGCATAGATGACACTATGGGGTTTATTTACTAAACCTGGTTGACTCAGAATCTTGTCCACTTCTGCATAAAAACCAATCAGCTTCCAGGTTTTATTGCTGAAGCTTAACTGAACATGCTGAGGTTAGAAGCTGATTGGCTACCATGCACAGGTGCCCAAGATTCTGAGTCAACCAGTTTTAGTAAATCTCCTATTATTTGTCATTCAATTTAAGTACTGCCCCTTATGTTGATTTGTCTTTGTTTTTTTGGCCTTTACTGTACCCACCCAATCCACACTTCAAAGATCAAATGCCCTTTTAATAACATATGCTTACAGTACCTTTAAATACCATAAGAGATCAGCACTATTCCAAGCCTGCAGTATCAGACTCCCAGATTCACACTCTATATCCAGTTGCTGGCAGAGATAGAGCACATCACTGCAAGGAATAGAATAGCATACAGGTATGGCTTCAGGGGACCGGGCACATAGATGGAGGGATCCTAAGGAGGCGATGAACAAGGTACTGCAAGTATCGCCGCAGTTCAACTCCAATGGAAGATCAATGAAAGGCTTCAACTCAGATCCCAGCCCATTGGTCATGCCCCTCTGACATGTTTCACCCACATTGGGCTTAATTGTAGTGATACCTCTATGATTAAGCCCAATGTAGGTGAAACAGAGGGGCATGACCGATGGGCTGGGATCTGAGTTGAAGCATGTCTTTCATTTACCTTACGTTGGAGCTGAATACAGTGTGTGGCAATTCTTGCAGTACCTTATTTATCATTTCCCTAGGCTCCCTCCATCTGTGTGCCCGGTCCCCTGAAGCCTCTGTTCTGGGTGGCCTTTGCACACTGACGTCATCAAGTACAAGGACGAGGAGAACTGCTTTTTAAGGGACTGTCTTCAACCCAGAGCACCAGAGCCTGCTGAAGTGGAAAAATGTAAGTAAGGAAGTAAAACAACCTCTTCCTCTACCACTAGAGCTAATAAACCTGTAACCCTTGCAGTGTTGAAGCACCCCACTGCAATTTTTCTTTTTACAGAACAGAATTGAAGTATGAACGGTCTTTTATAAAAGATGAATACTGATCATTAGTTCTTGTATATCAGAATTCTCATTGCTTCTTTATTCTCAAAGACTGATTGTATAGCCTTTACCCGATTATTCTTTTCTGTCCTATAGCTGTACCAGGAAGCCATATAATTGCAGCGATGGCTGCGGTAGTAATGAAGAGAGAAGGACCACAGTTCATCAGTGAATCTGCAGTTCGAGGGAATGCCGCTGTCCTTGATTACTGCAGGACATCTGTTTCAGCCCTGTCTGGGGCCACTGCTGGGATCCTTGGATTGACGGGATTGTACGGCTTCATCTTTTATTTCCTTGCCTCGTTCCTCCTCTCCCTTCTCTTGGTATTAAAGTCTGGACGACGATGGAATAAATATTTCAAATCAAGGAGGCCACTGTTCACTGGTGGGCTTATTGGTGGCTTGTTTACTTACGTCCTGTTTTGGACCTTCCTCTATGGCATGGTGCATGTATACTGAAATACTGCCTTCCACAAACACTCTTTTTAATGGATATCTTGGACTCCCGCCCAATGGTTCATCAACTAGTCAAGTTTAGTTTTTAAATTAATGAAATTATTGCTTGGTTAATAGTAACTTAAAAATATTGTTTTCCTTAATTGAACCCACTATAGGCTTCTATATCCCTTGTATTTTGTTCAATAGCAAAGTGGACATGATTCACTAGAGTACTATAAATGAAAGTCTATGAAATATGCAGTAGTTTATACGTTTATCGGCACACAGACTTTTATTCTTGGTTCAATAATATTGTCCTCACTGCTCAGTAAAAGAAATCTGCTGCTATTTTTGTGAGTTGTCTTACATTCTTTGTATGCTTTTAATATATTTATATGGTAAATCATCCTGTGAAGCATCCTTCTGCTGAAGGTTTCTGTGACCTACAAAAACACTGCCCCTGAGGTGTGGTTATGCCATCCCATGAAGTGCTGTCCTTGCCATCCTATAATGCCATGCTAGTATTATGATACAGGTAATAGCACCATAATATACCAGTACACATTAGCAAATAAACTTCAAGAACATTCTTGGAATCTGTCAAAATCAGGATATATATTATAACCAGATGCCAACTTTTTATCAAGTCCTTGCTCAAGAGTCCTCAGCCCTGATGCAAGCAGTGGGTTGACTCTTAGGAGGAGTTCTGCAAATATAAATATGCATTGATGGGTGGATGTCAGTCTGGAGGAGTGGCCATTTCTAGGCAGGCTTCATTTGCTTTCTGACTTGCCTAGGGTAACATCCACATGTGATGGTGGGAATATTTGAATAAACTGAAATCCAGTGATTGAAATGGGTAGGCCACGGACAGTCAGGCTAGGGGGGAAAAGACTAGATGATGCTGAAGGTCCAGGATATAGATTGGGCTTTATCTGACCTACTACACACTGTAAGAATCTCACAGTGTGCAGTGAATCAGAGTAAACAATATCAATACAGAAGTAGAGCCTGCACAACTGTGTAAAACTGCAGGTAAGTCTGGAGTTTAGCTACAAGCACACCCCTGCACCCCACAGTGCAACGTAAACCCCTCTCTGGAAGTTGTTGACAAAGGAATATACTGGTTCCTAATCGCTCCACAGAAACCAGGTTAAAAGAAAACTGTATTTGCATCTGTTGCCAGTTTCCCACATGGGCAATTATTTCAGTTCCTTTGTTTAGTTTTAAAATAATAATTGCTCATCCATACTCTGTCCTTGGATATATTGAGAACTCCCAATTTGCATGTTTGTTCCTGGACAGCAGGTCCGAAAAATACTGAAGCTGTTGGATCAGCATAGTCAGAAAAAAAAAAAACCACTTCAATGATGGGAGCAGGTTTGTTCTCTCAGTCCAGGTTACTTTTTGATGTTTTGAATTCTTGATATTTTTTTTTTTTATGGGGATATTCTGTTTTATTGTGTAGTACAGAGTGTGTTCTGCTGCTGTTTCAGACAAAGCACAAATCTAGGAGCTGGCTAGGCCATTGTGAATAATGTATTCATCTACAAATCTCTGTAATTAACAATATACAAATAAACATGAAATATCAAGCATATTCTAATATGAATGTCATTTTAGTTACAAATTACACCAGGAAGTATTTTCAGTGTTTGGATGAGGAAGTGACAATCCTAGGAGCCCCATTATGATAATCTAGATCCAGTAGTCACCCCAGCCTGACCAGCAAGCACACACAGACCTTTAGCTAAGTTCTGGGCCGGCTTTAACAGCCTTATCCTGGACTGAGGTGACTGGTGAGTTAAACTTTGTGCACGGACACACATGACCGGGCCCCTGATGTTTTACCCTGGCTGGCAGTCTCAGGAACGTTACCCGCAACCTCCGCTGGATGAGTAATTAGATGTCTCCTCTGCCTTGGATGCAGTGGCGGCTGAGGTTACTACCCGGGGTGGTTGGCTTTGCAGGGTCTTCTCCTCCCCTTCCAAACTTGGGTAACTTGGGCTCAGTCCTCCCTTCCCATTTCCTCTTCCCCCTTCTCCACCTGCCTGGTGTCTAGCCTGGGTGAGCAAAGGGCCACTTTATCTGCATGTTTGGATGTTTAGGAGGTATGGGGGTTCCACCATGTGCTGTCTGGGCAGCCAGCGGCCATCTTTCCTGGGCGGGTTTGGCAGCCATTTTGCCAAGAACTGGGCTGGTGGCCATCTTGGAGTGGTCCTATCACATGCAGTCTTGGTTAGTAGAATGCCTGGTGGTGGGGCCTTTTGTTGCTGGTGCTTTTGCACATGTCCATTACTCCCATCTGTCATGGTCTCTGATCAGGCATGACTCACAGGCAGCCTTGGTTACAACAGGGGTGAGTCCTACTGAGGTTCCCCCACCATCTCTGCTGCTGTTTAATAGATGGGGTTTTCGCTTCTTTCCGTGGACTTGGTTCAGAGTGTGCTTCGCATGGGGCACCAGAACATGAATCTCCTGGACCTCCTCATGGAGGCAGACATCAGTCACTGGCTCTGCCCCTCAAGCATTTACTGGAACACTGGGCTGTAGAGGGGGCTGGAGTGGCTGGCTCAGGTTACCAGCGGCTGCTGGTCAGGCATCTGGGTGGATTCTGACAAAGTCAGGATTCTTGCAGAACCTGGACCTGCTCTGTGACATCTAGGTCACGAGTGCAGAAATAAGTGCACTCCTGTGACCCATATGAGAAATATGACCAAAAAAAACTTGGACCATGCTTTTCCTTTTAAGGCCCAACTCCAGGACTATCAAAAAATTCACCCTTGCATCATAAGGAAATGTCACCTTTGCGTCACATATTTACTTATAATTCTCTGACTGCATTTAAGGCATATTCAAAACCAATAGGTGGTTACTCATCAGAAAACTTTTAATTTGTCAGATAATTTTGAGCCTCATCTGTCAAATTATCAATGCATTATATTAGAATGAAAATAATTTATGATCCAATCCTTCCTAGGTGTGAGGACACAAACCCCAGCAATGTGAACTGGCAGCAGAAGGATCTAAACCTCCAGCTACCTCATTATATTTGTAAAATCCCAGTGAGGCCACTATGAGTTGCTATAAATGACAACGCAATATACACTGATTTACAAAGTGAGTTGCCATGTCACATGGACTAAAATTGCCACAGGACTTTTTATAGCCAGTAATGAACTAGAATCCGTTTGGCCTCCTGTACAATATGAAGGAAACACATTTGCTAGGCAATATTTTGTTAAATTTGGACAGGATTCAGCATTTGTCAACCAGCCAACATTTTATTTGTAATATTCCCTGAACAGATTATTTAGCACAGCCTTTCTTCAACTTTTTAACATTAAGAAACCCTTGAAATACCTTTCAGGTCTCAGGGAACATCTGTTATAATTACTGTATCTACTACTTAAAGGATAAGTTCACCTTTTTACAGAAAAGATAATAAATGCACATATTTTTTTGAAAAAGCATTGCGCCTTGTTCACCTGTGATCTGTGGATCAGGTGTGCAATGTCTGTCTTCTGCAAACAAGCCCTGCAGCTCTTTGCCCATACCTTCATATGGGCTGTCTGTTTGAAAGTTGCAGGGCTTGTGAATGTACTCCAAGAGAGCTCATCAGTGCTTTTGTAGTTCATTCTGAACTTTTAAATGTATTAGTGCAAACATTAGGTTGTAGATATAAGAATAAATGTGTAAGGAATATGGTGTTATTAGCATCCTTGACCTCCAGGACCAAATTATTTTCAGTATCGAATGAAATTAAACAAATTACTGTATATTAATGGCCAGAAAAGAAATGCAGACTGTGAAAATTGCAGTATTTCCTCACATTGCAATCAGTGAAGAAATGCCCACTTACATTGATAGTCAGTGACATGCCCCCCTTCCTTACCCTGGTGGCCATAGTGAAGGGCCCACCTAAATTAGTCACTGCTAAAATAGTTCCTTACACTGTTATTCGGCGGGGATGGGCCTTCTTAGATTGGTGGTCCGTTGATAAAGATCTTAGAATGGTGGTTCGTTCACAACGCCTTTCTTAGATTGGTGGTCAGTTCATAAGGACTTTTTTAGACTGCTGGTCAGTAGAGAAGGGCTTTCTTAGATTGTCAGTCAGTAGGGAAGGACCTTCTTAAACTGGAGGTCAATAAAGAAGGGCCTTCTTAGACTGGGGGTCAGTAGAGAAGGGCCTTCTTAGATTGGTGATCAGTTCATAAGGGTCGTCTTAGACTGGCGGTCAGTTCATAAGGGCCTAATTAGACTAGCGGTCAGTGGCGAAGGGCCTTCTTAAATTAGTGGCCAGTAGGAAGTATGCCCCCCTTGCAGATCACTAACAAGATATTTTGTGTCAATGGTATCTTTTAGAGAGGCAGAAATTGCTCAAGGACCTCCTAATTGTTTATTTCATTTAGGGTGGTGCATTCTGTGGGAATGTTGGGTAGTCTGAAAAACAGCTCTCTGTCCCTCCCCTCCTGGTCTGGTTCAGGCCTTTTTTAAACCCTATGAGGACAGTGCTGTAATAGGGATACATGGACAGTAGTGGAAGTCAAGTGACACTGTTACTCGGCATAGTGGTAGATGTGTTTACAGTACTTGACGCCGTACCCTTTAGAACTCCAAAGCAACTCCAAACCTTTAGATCACCAAAGCGGGACTGCCATCTAGACCAAGGTTTAAGATCAGTATTATCAGGATTCTTGTTTGTGTACAGTTATCCCTTTGCTATTGGAGGACGATAAATCTGCTTCTCTTTGTATGCCATCTTACAGCAAAGCAGCAATGACACAATAAACAGGTTTGGGTTCTGTACACTTTTTTTCCCAGCGGTCTTTCACATGCAAGCTCATATAATAAATATTGTGAGGATACATTCCCATTAAAAGTCCTTCTTCTTTTCCTCTTCTTCTTCTTCACATCACATCACAGAGTTTCTGATTAGCATAGTCATGTAAAGTCCAATCCATGGTTGAAGAAAATGAACATGATCAGTCATTACAAAATATGGTGTGGGGCAAAGCCTAGAAAACAACACTGCACTCTAGTGACAAACCTGCCAGGTGGGTGAGTCCCTGAATTGCTTGCAGTGGATTTATCAAAAGCATAACAGTGCCTGTAGAGTCCTGCCAGATTGTTGCATTAAATGAGCGAGACTCTAATGTCCCCAGGAACGAATAGGTGTTTCTGTTTGGGGCGCAGCAAATCTTTTCACAGCCGCTGTAGGAAGCTATGGATGGAACAGTTCATGAAAACACCCAACAATGGAGCAGAGTTCAGCGTGTCCTGTCATATCATACTCCCTGATAGGCACTTTATCTGGATCCTCAGAGTCATCCAGTGTTTTACGCCTCCACGCTCTGCAACTGTTTCAACTGCTCTATGTCATCATGGCTTTTTGATTTCTTTTGTCCATTTACCTGTAGGGTTTTCTTGACTGTTCTGTTAATAGAAATATGCTGTATTAGAATATGTTGAAAAAAAAACAACACTGTAAATTATCTATTTATCAATTTTTTTCAATATGAACATCGTGGGGTTGATTGTGCATGGCAGCCAATCAGCTTCTAACTTCAGCTTGTTCAATTAAGCTTTGGCTATAAAACCTGGAAGCTGATTGGTTTCTATGCAGGGCTGCACCAGATTTTGCACTCTCCAGTTTTGGTAACTCAGCCCCCATATGTCTTACTACAGCTACCGTCAATGACTGAAAAGTGTTTCCCAATACAACCCATTAGGGTTAATAGGACATTCTTCTATAGGACCCTAGAAACTGATTGTATGGGGTCCTAACCCACAGGATGCACACCTAATGCCCCTTTCACATGAGTGGATCGATCGGGTCTACCTGTCTTTCAAGAGGACCCGATCGGACGTTCCATTGCTCTCTATGAAGCTGCGGGTGTAATTGGACATGTGTCTGTTTACACCTATCTGCATCTGATCTAATCCTGTCTGCTAAAAACAGACAGATGGGGATCTGTTCCCTATCCGTCTGGCGAATTGGATCGGATGACAGTTGGATGGTCTGGCGAATTGGATCGGATGACAGTTGGATGGAAACAGACAGGTGGTCCGTTTCCATCTGACAGCCCATAGAGGACAATGGGCTGTGCCCGTGCTTGCTCTGCGTAAGCAGAGTGGACACGGACCTATCATCCGCTTGCTCAGCGGGGATCAGAAGGCAGATCCCCCACTGAGCAAGCGGGTCCGCCCCGCCCGTGTGAAAGGGGCCTAAGGGATGATTAATTGTAAGTTATTAGCACCTAAAAAATACCATGCACAGGCTCAGCCAAATAATTTTTCCTGCCTTTATAGCAGTTTAACACTGCAGTTATAACGATCACGCAACCATCTTCCCATCATCATCTTCCCATAATTCTCTGCTGCTTCACAAGTACACTGCTTAAACATTTCCCTGCAGCTGTGTATGTTCAAGAACTTTCCTCTTAGGGCTCATTTATATGGGTACAGAGAGCCATACACCATGAAAAAGTGTGTATCTGTGCACCCAAGAGAGATGTCTGTTTGCATATAGTCACCTGTAGGCAGGTTAGCTAGTCTGCCACTAGGTGGCTCTGTTCCAGAAACACTGTAGTGATGCCAGGCAGGACTCATATATGTCAGATCGGTATGAGCCCTTGTGCAGTTTGGGGCATGGGAGCCAAACAACCCACATCTATGCAGATGTAGCCAGCAAGTAGAGGTCCTGGACAGGACTGGAGGCCAGGGAGAGATAGACTGCATCCAGAAGAGCCAATCTCCTAGCTTGTAAGCTCCAAGGAGCAGGGCCCACCTATCCCTCTTGTATTGAACTGTATTGTTGCTGTATTGTCTCCCTTTATATTGTAAAGCGCTGAGCAAACTGTTGGAGCTATATAAATCCTGTATAATAATAATAATAATAACTGTAGACTTATGGAGATGGGGGCTAGGGCGGGTTGCAAAAGGACTTTTAGGCCAGATCAGGAGTACCCTGAGTGAAGCCATCCCCCTGGGGGATCCTGGGAGAGGTGTACCTATGGAGCAGGTGACTGCAGAGATCCTATCCAAGTGAGTACTAATGACCCCAGGTGGAGAAGGACTGTGCCTAAGGGTAAAACAAATCTTAACGCTTAAGCACAATTTTGCAACTTTGACATGTGTTAGCAAAACTGTACATATCATCACATCAACTTTGCGTATCCAGGTGGATTATACCTTGTTTTTTTTCAGGACAAACTGGGCTTTCATTTGGTGGTAAATGGTAATGGATATCTCCTGATTTTTTTTTTTTTATTACCAAAGGAAAAGTGGTGCAAACCCTTTTTTTAAATGTAGCTGTATATTTCTTGCTAGTGCCATAACCCACTACCAAAGAACAACCCAAAATAATTTCTCCTGCTCCTGATGATCGCATCGATACCACACGTGTGTATGTTAGTTGTTAGTACCCGCAGCACAGCCCAGAAACCATAGTGCGCAATTTGCTTTTTTTTTTTAAATTTTATTCTGCCACTAACTGATACTAATTAAAAAAAAAAAAAAACCTGACCCCCAAAAAAAACAAAAACGAAAAAAACCCAACAAACTGACCTTGACCATGGTCATTGACCAAAACACTAACCCTGGCACAGACCTAGATCAAACCTTGATCTAGGTGTTTTTGTTTATTTTTTTTATTATTATTTTTATTCATCTCTTTATTTATTTTTTACACACACTTTTTTTTCTCTTCTTTGAAAGGACAGAAAGAGATACAATCCATTTCTCTCCTCCATTCAAAGAGAGATAACACGGGGGGCGGGCTTCACAGTGACTGATCACTGTGATAGCCAGACAGAGGCTATCACAGCAATCAGGTGACCTGGAATTGGGAGTTTCAGGTCCCAATCCTTAGAACCGGGACTTTCAGTGACATCCTTGTGTTTGTGCTGGGAGCACGCCATGCAGTGCACTTCCAGCAGAAAGACAGGTACACAAATTAACTGCCCCATGGAAAAAAGCCCAGTTCTGTGAGGCAGCTAATTTGCATGCGGTCGGCGTCAAGGGGATATGGGAAGATGGCATACTTTATTGGCTGCACAATGCTTTCACATGTGACTACTGCAGACCGTCCACTAAATGTGATTGATAATGTACTGTAAAGTTACTCCGGATGGTATTTCGGTGTGATGTGACTGTGTCATTTTCCAAGTAGCACCAGTAAAATGCAGCAACTCTGTTTATTTGTGGACATTCCTTCCTTTGGGGATGTAAAGGTTGATGGCCAGGAATGTCAGGAGAATGCCTATAAGACATAAAGCTGCAGCATTGATTTGTACAGGCAGTTGCTGGTTGTTTTGTTGTTGTGCTCTACTTCATAGAAGCCATGGTTTCCATACACTGCACTGATGATGGCCAACTAGCTGCAAAAACTGTATGCAGTTTAATATAGGTGGCTCTAAATGATTACATTGTATCTGTGCAGTAAACCTGCAGTTCTGGATATGAAGTAAAGCAATGATTTACATGTCTCTGCCCCCTATCCTAAATTTAACAATAATCCCTGATTTTTTGGTCAGTGATGGGAGGCAAGCTTTTTGGTTTCTTATAGCTGACCTCATCATAACATGTCTTGTTCCAATGTGGTCCACAAACATTATGAACCTTAATTATGGATTATAACTCTGTAATACTTACTTCACTTCTTCAAATTTCTTGTCCCTGTAGAAGTTGCTCCTTTTAATCAAATACAGCAAGACCAAGTCACAGAAGAACGCCCCCTGAAAAAGTAAAAGAAAGCATTATATACTTCCAGACATAACAAGAATAGATGGAGGACAAAGTAGTCAGAACATGCTGAGATTCGGAAGTTACCACTTAGAAATCAAGAACCGCAGATCTATTAAGCAATTTCAAAGTAACCTGTTGGTCCAATGAATTGCCATTAAATTAAACCTAACAAGTAGCTGACATGTAAGCTGTCAGCAGGTAGTTTTAGCTCTACTCTCTCTTTCCCCAGGGCCTTTTGCAGGCCTGCTAACTGTAATTTGTACATACTGACATTCTGAAAGACATTATTTATTACAGATACTTATATAGCACCATTAATTTACACAGTGCTTTACATATATATTGTACATTCACATCAGTCCCTAACCCTCAAGGAGCGTACAATCTAAGGTCCCTAACTCACATTCATACATACACATACTAGGGCCAATTAGACAGGATCCACCTACCAGCATGTCTTTGGAGTGTGGGAGGAAACTGGAGTATCTGGAGGAAAACCCACACAGGCACAGGGAGAACATGCAAACTCCAGGCAGAAGGTGCCATGGCTGGGATTTGAACCAACGACCCTAGTACTGCCAGGTAGAAGTGCTAACCATTTAGCCACTGTGCTGCCCGTGACATTATTTGAATAATCTTCCCTTTAGTGGTTCCTTCATAGCCACCACATACTGCCCTGTGATGCTATTTTCTGGCGATGTGAGAGTTAACAGCTGCGGCTCCTGTCATTCAGATGTTCCTCTTGCATGCACAGATTGCAATGCATTGTGGGAGAATAGTAATATATTTTTTGTGAGTAGCAGAGAAGGCAAAAGGGGGCAGGCGAATGGTGCAACTTTTCAGAAAAGCAGACTGTTAACACTTACACCGCCGGAAGATAGCTGCTCACGGCAGTACCTGGCAGTACCTGGCAGCTATGAAGGAGGCACTGAAGAAAAGATTTTAATAAGAATCAGCTGCATGCAGATAATGAGATACATGTCATTAGGCCCCTTTCACTCAGTGCGACTGATCGGGTCCACCTGTCAATTTTTAGGCAGACCCTCCATTCTCCTTCATTTGGAGTGCCGGGAGCAAATGGACATGTGTCCATTTACACCCACCTACATCCAATCTGATCCGGTCCTCTAAAAACAGAAGAATGGGGATCAATTCCCCTTCCTTCTTGAGAATTGGATGGTAGTTGGGTGTAAATGGACAGGTGGTCCGTTTACATCTGACTGCCCATAGAGGAGAGCGGTCTGTGTCTGCTCTGTGACCTTGTACTACATAATTATTGGTTGAGCTAAAAGAAACTGTACAAGGATTACATCATTTAGATTGTAGAATGTATTGTCAAACTAATAAAACTTTCTCAAACTAAAAGATTGGATGAGTTGAAAGTTTTTGTTGGATCCAAGCAGATTGGCTGTACACCTTACAAACACTGTTTAAACAAACTTGTTGAAAAGTTATAAATACATTGGATTTCATGAGCCCAAACACTTTCAGATTTCTACAATTCTGCCCAAATTTAGTAGATTGTACAATCGTATTGTAGCTGCTTTAGAGCTAATATGAAACATTTCTTATCTGCTTACCGCACCCATTAGAGCCAGGCCGGAACCTATATTGATAATTGTTGGGATGATATTAAATTTTCCAGCCTGTGAAAATAAACAGAAAATGCACATTTTGGTGCACATTTTAAAGGCAAATTTGTCTTTATTATTTTTGCACAAATTTAACAGACAAAGCATGAGAAATAAAAAGAACATGTACAAGTAAGTAAACAGAAAAACATCACATCACAGGTGTGGCTATGATCCATGTGGATGGAAGAAAATGATGCAATACTACAGCAAGAGGGAAGGATCAACAACCCATATTATGGAGATATATAACAAAACATAGTTTCAGGGGGGGTATCCCCGGGCGAGATGTATGTAACAAGATGAGAGAACTCCGTACAACCAAGAGTGTAAACCCAAACTGAGAAAGAGGAGGGAGAAGAAAAAAAAAATTGGGGACCCAGTGGTAAGGATAGCAAAGGAGAAGAGAGGGGATCTGGAGACGGTAGTGGCAGAAAGCAGAATCAAGGTGGCTCCCCACTTGTATCCCACCAGAGCGACCCCGCCGACCGTATCTGGGCACGGACCGCAGGGCCCAACTGCGGACAAGCAATATGTAAATTGGTGCACATTTTATATCGTGTACTCTAACACAGAGAAATATATATATATATATATATATATATATATATATATATATATGGATATACTGTATATGATAAGTAATTATGAAGGACTTACCTTAAAACGAAGCCCTCCAGTGGTATGCTGTCCCCATTGACAGGGCTTCCATCTTCACCTGGTCTTCCTTCCGGGTTCGCGAGCTCTGGCCGTCTGACTGGCCGAGCCTCGATAATGTCACTCCTGCACATGCATGTGGGATCTTGGGCACTGGCACAATGCTCTGAAGGAACGGCACGAGTATGCCATTCCTTTAGAGCGCATGCAAAAAGAGCGACTATCTGCTAAACGGTGCACATTTAGGCTAGATTCACACCTATGCAGTTTGTGTTTCATCTGTTTCTGCACATGCGTATTTCTTCTGTTTCTGCACAGTTTGTGTTTCATTTTTTGTTTTGTACATACGTTTTAGATGCGTTTTGCAGGGTTTTTTTTTTCTTGTTGCTAGGCAGATTAAAACGCAAAACACAGCAAAAACACACTACACGCTTTTCTGCAGCGTCTCCATTGAAGTCTATAGAACCAAAAACGTAACATTTTGCATTTAAAAAAGTCCCTGACCCTTTCCAAAAAACGCACCAGGTGAAAACTCAGAGATGTGAACATGTCCCATAGGAAATCATGTTAAATGGACTGTAATGCATTTCTGCAAAACTCTGCGTAAAACGCTTAGGTGTGATCTTAGACTTAGGGGATATTCATTTTACCTACAGGTAAGCTTTATTATAATCTTACCTGTAAGAAAAGTGGAAGTAAATCCACTTTTGTATCTATTAAAGTAATCTTGTCATTAAGATCACTGACGTAAACTAAATTTATATTTTCTGGTAGTCTGCATCTAAAAACTGTGCCGTGCAGATCCCTAAACATTGCAGGCATCCAACACTTCCAGGCGTGTTGAATACCTGCTCTCCCACCAGGCACTGTGACTCCTCTTGCCAGTCCAGCATCTTATACTAATGTAAGGAGGAGCCGCAGCACGCAGAAATCTGCAACAAAATAACATTTTAAGACATGGACTGCCTTAAAGGTGGGTATTCTTTACAGGCTGACTTTAATTTACATTGGTGCTTTAATGTGTATCTAAACCCAAAAATAAGAATGTCATATATTGCAGATTATTGGTCCTTAGATGTAGTGGTTTCTTGTTGAAGGTTTTTTTTCCCTTTATTTTTAGCTGGCATTATTGTCAATTATACAATTCCTGTCTTAGGATAACGCTCACTTACTATACTGTATCTATGGAGGAGCAGCTGTCACCCTAGGCTGCTCTCCTACACGGGGCAAATCCAGGCTGTTGGGCAGGGAATGCCTTGGCCACTTATGATTGGCCAAGGACAATGACAGCTTCCTAGTGGGATTGCCCAGGTTGGTTCAGACTAGGATCTGAAAATGCCTGAGCTCAGCCCTAGTTGCAGTAGCTTACATTTGTTCTTCGGTTTAGATATACTTTAATGAGAAGGTCATATTAAATGTTCCTTCAGCAGAGGAGGAAAAGATGACACATATTATATTGCTGTAGGTTACTGCACTTTTCCTTTATCTGCTTCTGTACAGACTAAGGCCTCGTTCACACAAGTGTACTTAAGTGTATGCCCATGCGAAGGCTGCGTTCATCTCAGGCGGTCCCACTCATGTCAGTTGGGATGCATGTGCTTGCCCGCATGGGGATGCATAGGTATTCTGTGGGGGCTGCGTTGGTCCCAGGCAGTCCCATTCATGTCAATTGGGATGCATGTGCTTGCCCGTATGGGGATGCATAGGTATTTTGTGGGGGCTACATTGGTCCCAGGCAGTCCCATTCATGTCAATTGAGATGCATGTGTTTGCCCGCATGGGGATGCATAGGTATTCTGTGGGGGCTGCGTTGGTTCCAGGCGGTCCCATTCATGTCTATTGGGATGCATGTGCTTTCTCGCATGGGGATGCATAGGTATTCTGTGGGGGCTGCGTTGGTCCCAGGCAGTCCCATTCATGTCAATTGGGATGCATGTGCTTGCCCGTATGGGGATGCATAGGTGTTCTGTGGGGGCTGCATTGGTTCCAGGCAGTCCCATTCATGTCAATTGGGATGCATGTGCTTGTCCGTATGGGGATGCATAGTTATTCTGTGGGGGCTGCCTTGGTCCCAGGCGGTCCCATTCATGTCAATTGAGATGCATGTGCTTGCCTTCATGGGGATGCATAGGTATTCTGTGGGGGCTGCGTTGGTCCCAGGCAGTCCCATTCATGTCAATTGGGATGCAGCGGCTGAATAGACACAGCAGCTGCTCCCAATTTAACAGTCGTGTGGATGTGGGTGTGTGAGCAGTGAGCAACTGAGGATCTACATCCCACATGGCTGTCAGATTGGGAGCAGTGAATGCATCCATCCCACTGACATGAATGAGACTACCTGCACGGGGATGCACAGAATACCTATGCATCCCCATGTGGGCAAGCACAGGCGAACTCTTAAGTATACCTATGTGAAGGAGGACTTATTAAATAAGACAGATGATATTGGAAGCCTCATTTATCACAAAGGTAATAGGAAGGAACTGAAAAATAATCTGAAACAGCAGATAATGACCTGGAACATTTGGAAAGTTGCAACAATGCATAAACAGTGTATAATATCATTATATGTACTATTTAAATCTTTGTACCTTTCCATTCACCATGATGTCAAAACGAATGCCATATGCTTTTATCAGTGTCCTGTAGTCTGTCTCATTCACATCACGATAATATTTGGCATATCTTAAAGAAAATATGTTATTAAAAACACATAATGACCAGCCACCTAAAAGTCAGATTGTACAAAAGGCACTTTTCTATGAAAATTTATCCATTTAAAGTTAGTATAGCAGCATTAAGGTCTAAAGCCCCATACACACAGGCTGAATATCAGCCAAAATCGACCTGTACAATAGATCCCGGATGACATTTGGTCCGTGTGTACAATCTCATGGCTGGCTTCTGTCGAACGAGCTTGCTGAAAAATCAGCAGCCAATTGCCTGCGAGAGCCGACCTTTGTGTTCTGGTGGGGGAGAGGTCCCCCTAACAGAACACAATAAACTCAGCAGGGAGATCGCAGTACTAAAATCACATCATTAGTACAGCGACCTCCTCCTGAGATCCTCACCTGAGATCCTCACCTGTACCAGGCTTTACATTTCTCTAAGGCTACTTTCACACTAGCTTTGTCAGCAGGCGTCAGACAGGCGTTTGGGAAGCGTTTTTAACACTTCCCAAACGCCTATGAAAATCCTGCACATGGCAGCACACAGTGCTGTTCACAGGGAAGCATTAGCGTCGCTTCGCGGCAAAACTGACGCCTCGTGTCGAGTCAGGGGGAGTTAAAGCCTTCCATTCAAGTCTATGGTGCCGCTCTGCAAATACCTGGCAGGCATTTACGGTGCGGTTGCAACGCGACACGGTTGCGGAGCGTTACTACCGTTTAACTTCATTATAGGCGTTTGTGGTGCAGTTTTAACACTTGGCAAACGCCTATCAACCGCCTCAAAGATGCGCATAGGGCATTTTGGGAGCGTTTGAGGAGTGTTAAAAACGCTTCCCAAATGCCTGTCTAATGCCTGTCAAACGCTATAGGGGCGTTTGGCAAGAGCTAGAAATAAAGTCAAGTGTGAACGAGCCCTAAGGTGCAATAAAAGTGTAGTTATCCATTGGGATTAATTTACTAAAACAGGTGCACTCAGAATCTGATGCAGCTGTACATACCAGCCAATCAGCTTCTAACTTCAACTTGTTCAATTAAGCTTTAGCAATAAAACCCAGAAGCTGATTGGTTTCTGTGCAGAGCTGCACCAGATTTTGCACCATGAAGCTTTAGTAAATAACCCCCATTGTGTTTAAGTTGAGTGCAGCTATTCTTCAATTAATATTCATTTAAAATTGTTATTAAAAATTAATGAGGATTTAACTAGCATAGTAAGATATCTTTCTGTTTGTAAAAAAAACAGTTATAGTTATATATTTTAATGTATGTTTTATGATAATAAGTCAATAAAATTGCCACATTTACAAAAAGATTTTAACTCTGTTGTCCTGATTCTTCTTTTGTCAAAACATCCTCCATTCAATATTGAAAATATGAATGAATTGTTCTTATTCGTATTAAACCGTTTTTTTCACTTTGCCCTAAAGGTAAGCCTATATTAAGCCTTACCTGTGAGTGCCTTGGAAATGTGCTGTTTAGAAGATATTCACATTGGATCAAGCTGATGATGTCACTGACGCATGCACAGTACATACATTGCGTGTGCCATGATTGCAGTGAGCTTCGTGCTGTGATGGTGACTCCCATTCTCATGCACAGGATTGATGTCATCACGGCCTGCCCATTTAGGTGGCAGGAGAGTGCTAACCCAGAAAGACTGAGCAAAGAGAGAAGCACCAGGAGTGGTGACAGCTCAGCTCTGGAGGCAATGGTGTCCCGAGGCAGGTGCGGTCCGCATCGGGTGACACCGACCGCACGGGGTGACACCGGACCTGCTCCACAAAAAGGTAAGTTGTAAAGCAAGCCGACGATCCCAGCAGGATGGATCCGATCCATCCTGCGGGGATCGTCGGCTTTCTTTACAATTTACCTTTCCTTGGAGCAGGTCCAGTGTCACCCCATACAGGTTGCATGCCGACGTTGGCATCAACCTATACGGGGTGACACCGGACCCGCTCCAAGAAAAGGTAAGTTGTAAAGAAAGCTGGCGATCCCCGCAGGATGTAATGGATCTGTGGATTGAGCATAATGGAGTCCGATCCATTATGTCAATCCGCAGATCCGGTCCATTCTGCGGGGATCATCGGAGGGGGTGTCACCAAGTGTTACCGTACCGGGTGATACCAACCTAGGGACGCCTCTGTCTGGAGGGCTCCATTTGAGAGGTAAGTCTATTATAATGAGTTAGTATCAGGTACATACCATCATATTATGACATGAACCTGCAGGGGGGGGGGCAGTTTTAAAGATATTTTGGCTGAATTCAATACTGCTTTAAGCTCCATGCACACTGGCTTTTAAAAAAAATCAAATTTTGACTGTTTTTTGAACTAGCGTTTAGAAGCTTTTAGCAGTATTTTTCTGCCACAAAAACACTCTCAAAAACGCAAAACAGAAATGTTTATTTTGCCTCTAAACACTGAGCTTAAAAAAGCTTCTAAAACTACCTATTGTGCATGGACACCTGGGATAGCATTAGTTGCTTCTACAGGCAAAACGCTAAACTCCTCTAGGAGCAGCATTTTTTTAAGCCAATGCATGTGAGTGTTTTTTAACCCCGGCCACATCAAAGCCAATTGTGAAATTGTGCGTCTTACAGTAAAGTCACACTATTTCAAAGTCAGGTGACTTGCTGATTTGAGGTGTGATTTGCAAGACATCTGACACAGATGTCTATGCAAATCGCACCAAAAGTAGTGCATGTACTACTTTAGAAATCGGTGCGGCTCTGACCAAGTTGGAACTGCATCGATATTACCACCCTAATTGCGGAAAGTAGGGTGTGACTTGGCATATGATTTGCAAGTCGCATGGCATGAAAATTGCATGCCAAGTCGCACCCAATGTGACCAGGGTGTTAAGACAGAGTGCAAGGAGCCTTAAGTGTATCTCAAGCCAAAGCTTTGATGCTAGAGAAAATACCAGAGCACACCCACTGCAGACTCCTTGCTGCCTCTCACATACAGAAATGCAAAAAAAAAAAAAATGGCAACAGTACGAAGTTTCTCAGAGCCACCGATCAAATTTAAAGTTGCCAAGGAAGTTTGAACATTCTTGGTTAAAGAAGCGGTTGAACAGTACAATCTTCAGAAACTTCAGATTAAAAAGAGCCTGTAAATTCCCTAGAAAAACCCCCAAGTGGCTGGTTCCTGCAAAGAAGTAGTATTATACTTACCCCTCCAGTGGCCTGTGTCTCCTATCTACTCTGTTCTAATGCTGCAGTCTCAGTTGGACTCTTCAATATATAACATTTTTGGTATTGTCATTTGCGTAGTGTCAGGACACCTATACAGTGACAGAGTTTAGAGGGTTTGATGGAGGCTGCAACAAATGCTAGGAGACATGGGCCACCAGAGAGGTGAGTATAATACTTCTTACATTGCAGAAACCTGTTGCTTGGATTTTTTTAGGAGACCAACCTGGCCTGGAGAAAGTTCACTGTCGACTGACGTCACTCAGCTGGTCCAGGATCTGAAAAGATCCCGATCATATAGTCAGGATCCACCTAGAATCCTGGACCAGCACCTGGCTCGACCTTTTAGCAATCCACCGAAAGTCTGAGCCAGCCCCTCACGCTTCTTCCACAGCCCAGCACTCCAGTGCACACTGGAGGGGTAGAGTAGAGAGCCGGTGGCTGACAGTCATAACTCTCCTCAGAGCAGAGGGGAGAACTGAGCAATCACTGGTGTTTGATTGCTCCATTCTCACTGCAGAGCTAGCAGGGGATACATTTATTTTTTTAAAATCCATATTTCTCTATTTAGGTGAAAAAGGTCTTTGGTTGCTTAGCTTCTGGATATCATTAATAGCGATTTTGTTGACTATCAATATCACTTTTGTTTGAACTGACCCTCTTACTGGAGGAGATACAGCATATGGCATCAGTAAATGTAATGCAACCTAATGGTAGACAATTTTTTATGTAAATCGTTCAGTTGCCAAAGTGATACACTGAGGCAATCCAAACACCTCACATAGAAATGATACATTGTATATATCCACACAACAAATGTATATACATCTAGGCGCACACTAGTGCGACTGTGACCGGATTTGATTTTTTATGCGTTTTTCACGATACATGCATTTTTTCAGCTCAGGGATGCTGGTTGTTAACAACCAGTGACTCATTCCTGCTGTCAACTAGGTACTCTGACAGCAGAATGTAAACAAAGGAGCTCGTCATTAAAAATAAAAAATGCTGTATTGGTCCCCCAACAATCCTTACTAGGCCCACCGGGGACTCCACACCCCAAACAAACCACAAAAAAAGGCGTGAGGTCCCCCCCCCTAAATACATACCAGACCCTTATCTGAGCATGCAGCCTAGCAGGCCAGAAAGGATGGGGGGGGGGAGTGAGTGGATGAGGAGGTTGTCCCCCTCCTGCACCATACCAAGCCACATGCCCTCAACATGGGGCGGGGGTCCTTTGTCAGGAGGGAGGGGACCCCAGGGTGCATGCTCCGATAAAGGTTTGGTATGCATTTTGCCATGAGGTCCCTATTAAAATCTGTACCAGGCCAGGCCATCAAAAGGGCCTGGTATGGGTTGCGGGGGAACCCCCAAGCATTTTTTATTAATAACAGGCTCCTTTGTTTACATCCAGCTGTAAGCCAGGAATCCCCAGCTGACAGAAGGTATGGGTCAGTCACTGGTTGTTAGGACACTGGTGGGTGCCAGCCACGTGGCAGACTGACCATTTGGAAACTCGGGCACTGCTCGAGGGCCCAGGGTCAGTAGGGGGCCCCATGAGATGCCCCTGGTACCTTTTTCATAGGCTTTTTTGAGTTTGGGCAAGGACACAAGGGCCCCATGATCCCCTATTGCCCAGGGGCCCCATGAGTTGTCAGTCCGCCCCTGGTGCCAGCTCCTTAACAACCTACAAAAACCCTGCAAAAACATACCAAAAATGCACGTACATTTATTTTACATGCATTTCTGGAGCATTTCCATTGAAGTCTATAGGGGCCAAAATCATGCAGAAACCACACCAAAGTAGCAGCTGCACTTTTTCCAAAAACGAGATGTTCTGTGCTATTTTGATATGATGTGCACCATAGAGAATAATGTGATTTCCATTATCAAGTCGCATCTGAAATGACACTAGTGTGAACCAGGCTTAAAAGTGCAGTAATGTGTATGGAGCAATACCTGAAATTGTAGCCAGAGGAGACAGATTTCTCTGTGAACTTATTGTCCAGCCGTGTGAAAGAGTAGCGAGGGTGACATTCAGATGCATCCTTGTCCAGGTTACAATCCCATTCTATCTGAATTCCAATAACACCACCCTGACACAAAATATTTACAACGTTAATAGTTTTCTAACAACTTGTTGTATATATATATATATATATATATATATTCTAAATTACAATAATTTTGTGTTAAAATGAAACGATCGTCATGGAAAGAAAATGTCTTAGCACAAAGATGATGTACATTTCCTACACTAACCACAAGAGGGCAAAGAAATCCTATGGCTAATGGCACTCACTATACAGAATAATTCTGTCATTTATACAGCATGTATTTATTTTTTACAGGTATTTATATAGCACCAACAACTTAAGCAGTGCATTTATTTACTGTACTTTACAGTTCCTGCCCTCAAGGAGCTTACAATCTAAGGTCCCATTTTTACATGAATATACAATATATGTATACATACACATAATAGGGCCAATTTAAACAGGAGCCAATTAACTTACCAGCATGTCTTTGGAGTACCCGGAGGAAACCCAAACATGCACAGGGAGAACACAATATGTGTATTTATTTTTCTGTCCCGTTATATCCAGATGATGCATTGATATGCACTTGTACCTTGGAGTTTGTAAGAGACCCCCAAAAGACCCACATTCTGGAAATTGCAAATATTACAAATATTTGTGAAGTGTTCTCTGCAATATCAGAGCTTGAAGTGAATGTAAACCCTAGCACTGATCTTCTTCTTCTCTTATTTACTCACCTTTGATCTTTTAAATAAAGTTCCTGCTCTCAAATGAAGAAGCTACAAAGGATCGGCAGTGGATAAGCAGAATCTGATATCATCCCTAAGCGTGTATGACCTATCTGTTATGTCAAGGAAGAAGGTAAGTGCATGGTGCACCTAGCCGGCGATGGGAAACACCACAATATGGTTGGCACGGTGGAGTAATGCATATAATTAGTCACTATAATTCGGAGTCACGTAACGTTTGTTTAATGTGAGTGGATACTGTAGCGTGTTTAATTTTTGGATATATAAAATGGTGTTGCACTTTGTTATGTTTTTGCTTTATTTTGTATGGATCTTGAGTCTAAAGGTCCAATGGAGGCATAATATGTGGAAGGAACACGTCACGGATCAGAGATTTGGGGACACATATTCCTTATAAAGTATGTTTGGCCTATTATAATTTATAGGTCAATGGTCAAGGTGAGCAGGTAGTGGGGCTGGATGATAACGCAACATATACTGGATTGGACGTTTATTTTTGTTATACATTCATTTTTTGGACCGTCACTTTATATTTTCAAAGCCTATGGTTTTATGTATGAGGAGGTAGCACACCACATTTTTTTCCATTTACCTTATTTTGAGTGTGAGTACATCAGAGCAGTGAGTGCAGCAATCTTCTTCCCTGATATTATTATTATTATTATTATTGGAACATACCAGCTCATAAGCCTTTACCATTTGCCTTCTCATTGTAGTGCTACCCCCTAGAGGGCCGCTGGATTTTTGGGTCCCCTATTCCTGCAGAGCAAGGCAACACAAATTTTTTTAACTTTCATACAGTCAGAAACCAGTCCATAAGCTTGTTTTTGTTGTTTTATTGAAGGGAAACAATTTAGATGGGGATAAAGGAATATGGTATGCCCAACTTGACTTAGTAAAACAATCAGAGGACAATCTTCCTTCTCTATGTACACAAAAATGCAGATCCTGAACTGTACTCTTTCCAGAAAAACATCAGTCTTTAAAAGATAAATAGCAAAGGTTCCTCTTTTAGAAGCTCTACAGTATGTCCCCTGGGTGAAACTCCCAAAGTCTCAATACTTTGCAGAAAATACCAGCCCACCTGGCTGCTTTGTAAAGTGTCCAAGAGCAAGGGATTTAGATTAGCTGTGACACTGTCCCTATGAAAGCATGCAGGATATTGCATCTGGCAGCCTTCCCCCTTGTAGGCCCTGGGGGTGTAGATGTACCCACAATGTTCCTTGAATCCTGCTGCCTTGGTTAAGACAGCTGTTCAGGCCTTCTACTGTGCTAGTCTTCCCATACTAGACAGAGTGTCTCTTGACTAAGACTATAGAGTAGTGAAAATCTCTTTTTGCAGCTTCTTCTCCTTCTCTCCCCAGCTCCAGCCTGGACACAGAGCCCCCTTCCCCGGAGTCCTCTCCCAGGCCTCACAGTCCTCAGCACTCCATCATCCACCCAACCACAGACCAAACGCAGCTGGCCAGGCTCTTCAATATATATGAGCTCATCTTACCACCCTGCCGGGCCTCCTGCCTGGAGATTGGTCAAACTACCATAAGTATTCAGACCCCTGCCTCTGTACCTCTGTCCATTAGCTTCTAGAAATTTCCATGAACCTCCAGAACCAGGGGGAGGCTCTAGAGGCCTGATATGCAGACCCTTCCAGCCTGACCTTAAGCTGAACCCACAGCAATTACCCAGAATCACTTAACTACTGTGAGTGCCCGTTCACATATATGTGGATTAGATGCAGTTTGAAGTGCATCCAATCCACATGACAGGTGAAAAAACATTTTATTCTATGGTGCCTGTTCACATACATCCAGCCTTATCACCATAACCTTTTTTTGTTGGTCCCCAAGCTCTACTCAAAGCCATAGTTTCCATGCACTGTACTGATGATGGACAACAAACCTTCCATGTTTTTAGTCCTGCCAGATTATTAAATATATAGAGAAACAAAATAACACAACTCCACCTTTTGACTATTGTGATACTGTATGGTGCTGCAGTTACAGACTCGCTGAATATAAACAATTCAATGTTTACAATACCCTGTCAGTTAGACAGAGCTAAGGGGGTTTATTTAAAAAGTTGTTGGGTATCCATCCATCAGGAAAAGCTGATTGTAACTACAATTATTAATTAATTCTATTTTTGTAATTTTTGTATTAAAACTTGTGAGTAAATATTGTGAGATCCATTGTTACTATTTATAGGATTACAACATCTGATTTACCTCCAATGCTATATCCTGAAAGTCATTTCCAGACCAAGAGACAATTTTCCCTAGGTGGAAGATGGGGCAATAATGATCCTCTTTGCTGTAGCGACATTTCTTTAGGAAAGAGTCGTCTTTTGTATCAAGTACATTCGTTCTGTGAAATATAACAATTCCAATACAACACATTAGTGTATTTCACTAGGAGTATTACATTATTTGTGTCAGAATATTAAATACATAGAGGAACAAAATAAAAAAAAAATCCACTTTTTGACTAATGTGATGCTGTATGGCGGTGCATTAGAACTGTCAACTTTGTTAATGGTATTTATTTTCTCTCAAGTTCCATTAAGGTTGGTAAATGCATTTGAATTATTTTAAATCCTCTCCTGGTAGAAAATAAACACTTTTTTCAAGCAACTACATTTATGGCTTTCTACTTATAATATGTTTTTTTTCTGTATAGCTAATCTTTGATTTTGTCACTGTTACCATCACCATAAATCTGCTTCAGAAGAATTCTGCCATGATAGAAATATACACCGGACCTTATTGATGAAAATGGAAAAGAGCAGGGAGAAATTACTATGATGGTACATTTGCAATGGGGGCTTGCATGGGCTTGATTATACACACACCCGGCAGTCATGATCCCCCTACTGATCTCCTACAGTGTACAGTTGGAGTCTCAATGTGTGGTGAGCAGAAAACATATGTATAAGTTTTTCTGGTGTGCATTCCAATAAGGTTCACTAAACAATGGGGGTTATTTTACTAAATTTTGAGAGTGCAAATTCTGGCACAGCTAGAGAGGTCAGACCAAATCTTGTTATTTCCAAAGCTCTTTTTGCCACATATTAAAATGTAGAATCCATTCAGAATCCCATGCAACAGTGCGTGGGAGCCAATCAGCTTCTAAATGGAGCTTGTCCAATTTTAATATTTGGAAATAAAATCTGGAAGCTGATTTGCTATCAGAGCTGCTTTCACTGTGAAACAATTCATCTACAAAGATTTTCAAAGATAACAGAGACCAAAGTTGGATTCCAGTGGTTTTCTAACAGCTTAGGACCCTGGTGTCCAACACATGGCCTTCTGGCTCCCTGTGTCTGTCTCACAGTATCTGGGGGTGAGTCCACCACCTGTTGGTCACATGCTGACCTTGTAGAGCTGCAGCAGGCTTCTGGATGCTGAAACATACTCTGTATTTCAGCACTGGTACTGAAAACAGACAGTACTGTCAGGGGAGGGTACTGTCAGAGGTCCTGGCTGGATATGGGGCTAAAAAACACTGCCACAGATCACCAATGCACGGGGGGGGGGGGTGTTAAAAAACTGCAACTGCATCACCAATACAGGGGATGTTGATAACCAATAATAACCAATAGGGAGGATGGGGTTAAAAACACCACCAATGTAGGGGGAGGTAGTGACCACCAATATAGTGGGGGGGGGGGGGGGCGCGTGAGGGCAGTCAAAATAACTACAATTGACCCTACCACTGATGACCAATCCAGGGAAGGGGAAGGAAGTGGTAAAAAACACTGCACTGATCACCAATGTGGCAGGGTTGTGTATTAAAATACACTGCCACTGACCACCAATGTTGGGGGTTGATAGTACTGCCACAGACACCAGTGCTGGGGGAAGTATAATGCTTGACACTGGCATCAATGATGACTTCAACTTTCTTTTTAGTGTGGATTGTGGTGCGCTGCAAAAAATGTAACAGGTCAGTTTTCATATGTTTAAAGTGAGTTACAGCCTATTCATTTTGAAAGGGGTGACGAACTCAACACACTGAACCTCAATGCATGAAAACACACTGCTATTGTGCCTCCGTTTGCCATTTGAGTTGTCCACCACTGGCTTAGAAGACATTAGAAGGCTGATCGGCTGTTATTTCACTGCCTTCATTGTGAAATTTGAAGATGAATTTATCCACAGTGCTTATAGCAGGAGACATTAATAAGGGCCAGTTTCAATATTTCTTTAGAATATGCAAACACTTTTGTGTGCATATTTTGGGCACATGTTCTCTTTAAGCCTCTGTCCTTAAAATGGAAAAAAAAGTGAAAGTAGTAAAACTGCACACTATTAAACCAAATATATGTACACCAAGCAAGCGAAAAGCACTGAAAGCACAACGCTAAAGCAAAGAATGTGCAGTATTTATCATTGGAGTCTCCAGTCACAAGCAGCAGCGCATGACATTGTGTACGCGTGCTTGCAGCTCATGTATACTATGTTACGCATGATATGCATGGCAAAGATTTGGATACTGACGTCTACACTCCTAGCAAAACCACATCTGGTAGTGAATGTTCCATATGTACACATTAACATATGTGCACATGTCCATGCACATCAGACGTACAGGACATAGGTGCTGTGAGGATAGAACTGAGATACTCAGCATGTTCCACATTGCATCAACATGACCATCTCATTTAGTAAATCAGTATGCCGTTGCTAACCTCTCTATAATTTCTAGTTGCCTATCTCTCATTCTTATCCTCTGGCTTCACCGATATAGCTGGTAATCTGGCTGCAAACTTTTAAAGTTATCTATTACAAATACACGAGACCTTGTCATTCAGGTGATCCCATAATTCAAAGAGCCATTGAGATTTAATTTTCAGACTTTTATAGAAACATTCACTTTTGTGTGAATAAACAAATTAACATTAATCAGTGCCAACTATAATTGTTTTAATGCAAACCACATTATAATCATTTAATTTCCTTCCAAAAGAACACTTACTTGGAAAAATTAAAACTTTGGAAACCGGATGGAATTTTTAATGTAGACTGTGAAGTTCTCTGCTTTTCCTAGAAGTGGTAGCCTACAAATAAATGGAAGAATACCAAGGAAACAGATCATCATTAAATACATTCTGATATGTAGTCAAAATAATTGTGTTCAGCATTAATACAGATCTGGTGTTCTAGTGGAAATCTATAGAGTGCCTTTTATGAGAAATGTACAGGTTAATGGTGGGTTGATTTATAAAAGCTGTAGAAAAACAAATGGGAAAAACAGAGGTACAATTGCCCAACAGAACATAGACTTACTTTATCTAAAAAAATATAGAAGAAATGTGTTACTATTCTTTCCTCTAGTTTAAAAAAAAACACCTCTGGATACAAATATTGTCTAAATACCAGAGGCATGTGCATTCTTGAATTTTGTTGTTCTATGTGTATTTCTTTCAGATCTGTGTTTGTACTCCAGCAGAAACAACTCCTGTACTTAAAATTTCCTGTACTTGGACCTGTGCAGGAGCTTCCTGTAATAGACTGGTCACTGCTGCTCTCCCTACTTGTGCAGGATGATTGGTCTTGTATCCGCCCGCCTGCTGTTATTTGCAGGCACCCTGTAGAGGGTGAAGCTGCTGGGACCCTCCCACAGCTCTGCCATCTATACAGGCCAGGCTATGTATACAAGTTGTAATAATATAGGGGTTGAAAAGCATTTGGTACATGAAAAAAGGATGTATATCTTTTGTGGCTACCGAGGAATATATTTTAAAGTGTTGGTTCACCTTTACAATAAAATTGCCCATGCATTCCAACATCTCCAGAACACTTAAAATACACTGCACAGGTTTTGAATAAGAAGCTGTTTTTCTTAAAGCGGTATTAAAATCCAAACTAAAAATGTATTATATTGCAGCTTATCAAACATTACATGTGGTGGCTGCATCAGTTTTGTTTTCTATGGCTTTTTCTTCTCTCTTTCACCTGGTAATCTGACCAGTAACACACCTTCGGTATTAGTGAGACACCAATCTATATATACCCTTATCCTTTTTAAACCATCAAAAAGTCAATACCTTCCTCCCTAGAACGTGCAATAATATATATAAAACCTTCTTGTGAATTAAAAAAATTAATTAAATGAAATAAATAAATTAATTTTAAACATATAGTGTACAATAAAGTCTAACTGATCAAAGAAATGTCCAAAAAGAAAGTCTAAAAATAGTGTCCACAAAGATCCCAAAATTTTCCACTCTTTTTCATCCAATAATCCAATCAGAACGAAGTCCAGAGGTGACGAGACGCGTTTGGGGGCGAGTGGCGTCAAGGCGTGCGTAACGTCGCCGCGCGGCCATTTGTTGGTTATCTAAACATGGTTTTCTATAGTGTTTGATAGAAATAGCTTGGAACCATGTCTGGAGCTGAATATTTTTGAATTTTAATGTAAGTGATGAATAAAAAAGTTATCCCTATGCTTTGAATACTAGTCCTGAGACCCTTCTTATCTTTCTGAGGACCTTTGGAAAAACCTCTTTGAAGAGAGAATGTGGAGGAATATTGTTCCATAATATTGTCTGAGCATTTCAATACTCATAGAGGGTAATAGTATTTAGTACTACTGTGTGTTGGTTGATGGTAGACACTGAATTGCAGTGATCACAGAGTGTTCACAGTTTGATTTGTGTGGTGATTATATGCACTATAAGAAAATAATTTGGATTTGAACAATTTATTTATTTATTTCATTTAATATATAATATATATATATATATATATATTTTTTTTTTCCCTTCTTGGTTGCACAAAAGTTTTTGAAGTGTAATTGTGGTTGCACAGGGTGATTATTGCTATTTATTAAGGTAATGCACTAGGATATTATTTTTTTACTTCAAGGTGCGTTTTGGATGAAATAGGAGTCAATCCTTTTATTGATGAAAAGAGTAGAAAATTTTGGATCTTGTGGACACTATTTTGGACTTTCTTTTTGGACATTTTCTTTGATCAGTTGGACTTTATTGTACACTATATGTTTAAAATTAATTAATTAATTTATTTCATTTAATTTATTTTTGTTAATTCACAAAAAGGTTTTATAAATATTAGTGAGACACCACTCAGGAGGAATGAGCCAGGACATAGCAGCCAGCCAGCATGTCAATCTGGGGATGGGGGGGTAATGTTTAAATATATCTAAGCAGATTTAAATACAAATAATAAATTGAAGTCAAACTCCCAGCTCACACTTTGTAATCAGGTACATCAAAAAATGTTTTCCTTTTAGGATAAAGGTTTTTCATGAATAAATAAAAGCTGATAGTTTTTATCCCTCTCTCTGTCAGTGGTAAATTGATGGCTTCATCCAAGAAAGCTGATGCTTTCTGCTGTAGAGTTTGAAGATTCATAAAAGACAGAAAGTTTGCTGGCTGAATCACCAGATGAAAATAGAAGAAAGAAAGCCGATGTAGCAACCTCCTAGATAGGCGTTAGGTTTAGATAGGCAGCTTTAGTTTTGGATTTTGATAGGTAAAATTTAGTTATCACACTGTAGTCAGTGTTTTGTAATTTTTGTTAGGTAAAAAACATATCTGGTACACTGCATCAGTGATGCCTTGTTCTGCTAGTTAGATCTGTTCTATGCGATCTACTGCTGAGGCTGCTAGCTCCCTCTGCATCTAGTAGGTTTGAAAAGTTTCAGATCATAGGTGTGGTGATATGCAAATGACAGAATGAATATTGATACAGCCCCAGTCTATCCCAGAGAGATTGGCTCTGATGGAATGCTGGGTAGCTGTACATATTCAGAGAGCACACTGGGCTTATCCATCTAGGATTTGTCCAGACTGGGAGAGGCACTTTTTCCCTGCCAGGCATCTGCTGCCATGAGACCTCAGATGGGCAACCTGCGGGCCTAAATGCTGGGACCTCAGTTCTGCTATGCTGACTGAGGGGCCATCTACTGAAGATCTGGCCTGGTATCACAGAGGAAGGATTCTAATGGATCTCAGAGACTGAGTGCTGTTTAGCCCTTGGGAAGTCAGCTGCGGGTCTAGCAAAGGGAACACTGTCTGGTGTTCCGAAGCGATTTGTCCACCTGACCTACAGTACTTATTAAAAGCAACACTGCTCTAGGGCTCTAAAGAAGTTACTCTACTACTACTGTTACTAAACCCACAACAGTAAAATCAGTCTGTATATGCAGTAAAGCATGCTTGAATATAATCACTGTGGAACCTAAGGGGTTAATCCTATGCATTGTGTAAAATGCTGTTTGATCCTGTCTTCTCTAATCCTCCCAATTCTTCCAGTGTCCCCCTCTTATCTCCTGATAAGACATATTGTGTGGAGTCACTCTGCATATGCTCAGTTTGGTGTGTATTGCTAGAGAGTTTTTTTTATTCTTGGGAGAGTGTATGTGATCAGCACAGAGCCAATCAGCACTGTCCTAGAGCAAAATGAAAATTCCTCCTACAAGCTGTAACCAGTGCTCTGCTGAACAGTGCTAGAAGTCACAAGACTGCTCTAACTTCTGATGAGAAAAGGTATTTAGCAGTTTATATTTACTAAAGTAATTGCATTTCCATGTTCTGTGTACTGTGGGAGACCAGATAGAGTGAATGCAGGTCCTCACTGAGTTTCTAGCTAGGTAAATGGTAAATTTGTTCTTGAAGTATTTCACCCACAGTAGTTTTTTTTGGGTGGACTGACTCTTTACAAGGATCCTCCATATCCAACACTTAAAGTTCATGCAAAAAAACTTACCTTAACTTCTGCTTCTTTTCCAAGGGGCACCATGCAAATATTTCACAAGATTCCAGTTGTGTGTTTTTCTTCTCCATTTAGGCAGCGGCCAGTCTTTACCCCTGCAATGATAATTATTTTGATCAGAAGAATACTCAAGATCAGTACATATTTACTATAAATTGTACATATACAGAGAACGTTTTGATTGCTTGCTACCTATAGCTTTAAAACTTAATTTCAGTCATAATATATAAAAACTTTCATAAAAGAGAACTTATAATGTATTCAACTCCATGCACATTAGTGGGGTTTTTTAAGGTAAAAAAAAGTTACCAAAAACCACTTGTAATAGCGTTTTAGTAGCATTTAGGAGTGTCAGCGTTTTATTAACGTTTTTACAGTACAGGAACAAAATAAGCCTTGAAAAAGCTTTTAGGAGCATTTTTTTGTAGTGTTTAGGACATCAGCATTCAGCGTTTTTTTCCGCTGGGAAAACGTTCCCAAAAACTCTGCAAAAACAATTTTTCTGCTGCTAAACGCTGAGCTTGAAAATCACTTCTAGGATAAAATAGTGTGCATGGACACATAGGATACCACTATTAGCTTCTAGAAACAGAAAAAAAGATGCTCATATTAGTTTCTAGGAGCTTAAAAAAAATGCACCCAAATGAAATTTACGTCCTTTTTTCCCACGAATTGAGCTTTCTTTCGGTGGTATTTGATCACCTGTCTGTTTTTTATTTTTTGCGCAATAAGAAAAAAAAAAAGACCGACAATATTGAGAAAAAAACTATATTTTTGACTTTTTGGTATTAAACATGTCCAGTAAAAATGTTTTTAAATCAAATTTTATCATAAATTTAGGCCAAAATGTATCCTGCTACATGTCTTTGCTAAAAAAAAAAAAAATTCCCAATATGTGTAAATTAATTGGTTTTCGTGAAAGTTATAGCGTTTACAAATGGTGGTATAGACACTGGAATTTTTTTTTTCTTTACTAGTAATGGCGACGATCAGCGACTTATAGCGGGACTGCGGCAGACATTCTGACACTGGGAGAAACTGACTTGGTGTCACTGACATCCCCAGTGACACCAATACAGTGATTAGTGATAAAAAAAAGGACTGACACTGTACTAATAGCACTGGGCAGGAAGGGATTAACATGAGGGGTGATCAAAGGGTTAACTGTGTGCAGGAAGTGTTTTACTGCGGGGCTGTGTCTGTGTGCTTCACTGTAATCACACTGCTCTGGATGGCTGTGCTGTGCACAGCCATCCAGAGCAGTGTGCCTGAGCTGACAGGGAAGAGGACTGTTAGTAAACAAAACAGTTACCCTCCCCATCGGAGATACTTGGTAATCACTGTAAACATGTGGAACCAATGTAGCGCTACTCGCTTAAATTAAGATAAACATGTGAACCAAAATACCTAGTGGATAAATATCAAATAAAAATAAGTGTCCACTAAAGTGAAATCATGCACATAAAACATATATGTGATTAAATCTAAATTACTAAAGTGAACATAATTATATCAACTAAAAAGTAATACGTGCTTATTGCAAATGAATATATATATATATATATAATATATATATATATACACACATATACATATACACATACATCAACAATGTGCATTAACATATATATATACCCCCATAAAGTGAAACAGTCCAAACGTGCATATATGTGAACTCAATACGTGCACCTGCACAAAACAACATATATTTCCGTGTATATAAAGTCCAAATAAAGATGATCACACTCAGGTGAACACAAAACACTCGTGCTGGTATTTGTATATAAAAGTGAGTTGATAGTTGAGCAGAAGATCATCCCTTAGGAAAAAGTCGGAAGTGACGAAACGCGTCAGTGTCGTGACGTCGGACGCTGAGCCGGAAGGAGCAGCGCGGCGATTTTTGAATTACTCACAACAGTGAACGGACTAGAGCGAGGATGAACGGTATATTCTAAGATGTAAGTTTTACTGAATAAAAGTGTGAATTACTTTTTACTCCACTGAGTCTGCTCCTATTTCCCTGCGAGGAACGGGGACCCTGGTACCTATGACCTATGGCTGTATGAAAAAAGGGATCCCATTGTGTACTCCTGAGAGGAAGACGCACCTCCTAGGAAGTTTATTTTGTGGCATAAAGGAATCCTAAATGCTTTGACTTACAGCAAGAGGGTAATTGCATTTTATCCCCTAAGCAGAATGTGGCACTGTTTTTGGCACTACTGTCACGGATTACTGTGTCACGGATCACACTGTGTGGTTTACTGATATTTTCACGGTTGCAGTGCTGTCTCACTGGACCACTAGTGATATGGTGGATTCACTTTAATTTAATTTACATATATGTTCTTTATCACTAGTGTGACTGCATGTTATCACTTATAGTAATTTTGTATCAAGGATAATGCACTATATTTATTGTATTCTGTTTTTTTTGAGGGTCCTGTGGATTGAGCGGGAAGAGCTGGACACATTTGGAATATTGTTGTTTTTGTTTTATTTTATTTTTGGATTTTGAGTTTGGACTGTGGACTGTGGTGTGGACAATTTGAGAGTGGTGTGGGACTGTGGGAGAGGGTATTTATGGATTATTGAAAAGGTTTATGTTATTTGATTCAGCCGGTGTTCGGATGATCTTCTGCTCAACTATCAACTCACGTCTATATACAAATACCAGCACGAGTGTTTTGTGTTCACCTCAGTGTGATCATCTTTATTTGGACTTTATATACACAGAAATATATGTTGTTTGTGTGCAGGTGCACGTATTGAGTTCACATATATGCACGTTTGGACTGTTTCACTTTATGGGGTATATATATATATGTGTTAATGCACATTGTTGATGTGTGTGTGTGTATATATATATATATATATATATATATATATATTCATTTACAATAAGCACATATTAATTTTTAGTTGATATGATTATGTTCACTTTAGTAATTTAGATTTAATCGCATATATGTTTTATGTGCATGATTTCACTTTAGTGGACACTTATTTTTATTTGATATTTATCCACTAGGTATTTTGGTTCACATGTTTATCTTAATTTAAGCGAGTAGCGCTACATTGGTTCCACATGTTTATGCTGAAGATCATTGGTATATGACTTAATGTGAGCAGCTTCTCTGGATTATTTAATTAATTAATTTTTCTTTGGAAGGTATCCTGAGCGCAGTAGGTTCACACCATTACTTGGTAATCACTGAGCACCGGCAGGTAATCACCGGCCAGGACCAGGTGATTGACAGCCACGACCACGAATGGCTGGCACAGGGAGAGTTCGCATGTGCCCCCTACCCGAAATGCTAAATCACGTATATATGCGTGATTTTGCGCAACCCTGCCACCCTGTAACAGGGCAGCGGGAAAGCGGTTAATGAAAATATTATTAATAATGTGCGTTCAAATTTTATTTTTTATGCTTTTGAATCGCACAGAGTGGAAGGTTAAGGAGTGTGTCACACACATAATTCATAGGTCAGGAGTGTGCAATGCAAAGAGTGCAGGTCAGAGTGCCACTGTATAGTATACAACCAGAAATTATTTCCTCTACTCTGTCCAAAAACCCCCTTCTTCTCCTACTCACCATATGCAGCAGCAGTTCACAGACTTCACAAGAAGTGACAGTTCAGAGTGAGGGAAAGACCTTCCTTCAGTTGTCCCATGAGACTGGGGCAAAGAAGGAGCCTCCCCTTGGCTCTGAGTCGCAATACCCCCAGAGTGTCCACACCCACAGCAGACAGCACCCTCCACATCTCCCGAAATGTGCCCCTGCACATACCAAATGTTTCAACAACTGAAGCAGAAGAGCTGGTTGCCAACAGAGGAAGAGGAACTTCATTTTTAAAACACAAAATTACAATATTCTCTTGGCTGCAAAACCTCTGCCATCACAGACAGGCGCTATGCCATCTCCAGCTCTATGCTTCATTAGACATTTACAGATAAATATAGTCAAAGCAGAATTCATTATTCTTCTTTTTCATTTACTTTTCCATAGCATTCTGCCAACAAAGGACAGCTCAAGAATGCTACTTTGCCAACTTTGTTGTCCTTGAGCCTTCATTGTACTTTTGCTTTGGATTTAGACACTTTTATCCTCAGAGTTCTTGTAATGTCCATTCCATGGTCACCCAATAGCTGTCATCGACCACAAGAACCTCCTTTTAACCAAAGCAATATTGCTGTTTCCATCCTGTCTACTATCATATATGAAAGACATCTTGAGCTTCCTTCTAGATTGTAAGCTCCAAGGAGCAGGGCCCTCCTAAATCTCTCCTGTATTGAACTGTATTGTTACTGTATTGTCTCCTGTTATATTGTAAAGCGCTGAGCAAACTGTTGGCGCTATATAAATCCTGTATAATAATAAGAAGAAGAACCCACCAATCCAAATATGACATCCTTTCTTTACAAACCCTTAATCATTCTTGAACTGCTTTCCTTATCTCAGTTCCAGCTAATGTCTCTCACTTAGTTCCATGGCTTCTCCAAGGCTTCATGTTATTTACAGAACCGCTGTTTTCATGTTGTCAAACCTTTATGGTTTTGAACCCCTCATATTCCCGTTTAGTAATGTAAGCCATTTAAGAAAAGCTTTCCTCCATTACTAACTAACCATGTTCATTACGGTGTGGGCGGGGCTTAAGATGCCCTAGTGGAGACACAGTGGAACTGCACTTGGTAATGCCTAATCTCAGGTAGGGAGATATGGACATATGACATCAACATTAGGGCAGATCTCCCAAACTTAGAAGCAAGCCACACTTGCTCAGTTAACTCTCTGTAACCCATGGCCAAACTTATTATACTGCTAACACTAAGCACTCTGGACTACTTGATGGAGAACACCACTCCCCAGGTGTGCATCATTTAGGTACTGCAGAGCCTGTACCGGCTTCCACACAGCATTTCCTGTCACCTCACTTACAGTGACTTGTCCGACTGTTGCTACAGGATACAGGAGACACCCTTTTTCTGTTAGTACCTGTTTGCGCTCTCCCGAGGTACCTCATATCTCTCTCTTTTCCTGTGACTCTCAGCTCAGTGCCTGGGTAGTCTGTGCTGCAAGGCCAGTCTTAGTATG